GAAAAGGTTAGGGTGAATTTTAACAAAAAAGTTGAGTATGTATTTGTGTGTGAACGCTTATAAAACAAATGACAGGAAAATCTATACTGCCACACAAGCAAATAAACAAGCTTCCGTACACAGATACAAACATGCATATACTCTTATATGCACACATGCTTACAAACATGCATACATACATATCTACTCGCATATATAAAATCATGTGAGCAATAAAGCATACAAAACATTTATAGGCATTGAAGTGTTGGCATAAGGGCGAAGGGGAAAAACGCAATAAAGCTTAAGGCATACAAAGTAACGGAAATGAGCAACACCCACCAACAGACACACAGACCCAAGACTACAACACTTGCAAAGCCATATATGTGCATTTAATTGTTTTCCCATACAAGCACATGCAGTTTTTTTGTACCGTTATTACACTTGCTGTACATACATATATAAATGAATGTGTGTATGCTTGTTTTGAGTGTGTATGTGTGTGTGTGTCCCGTTTGTTCGACAGTGAAATTTGTATTGTCATTGCCACAACTGTTGCATTGCAAATCGAAAAATCAAAACAGAAAGTAAATTGAAACTAAAAAAGGGAAATAAATAAATGAAGAATCAAAAGGAAATGAAATGTGCTCAGCCATGCATTTGAAATGTCTAAAAGGGAAGAAGGAAAGCTGTGAAATGAAATCGAAAGTTAAACACAGCTTTAACTTTCACTTAAAAGGATATTTTTTGTTTTTTTGCTTCCATGAACATAACCTCATCTTTCTTTGTGCTTGAAGTTTTATCCAAGTTTGACTTCGAAAAATAAAAAATGTGAGTTTGTGTTTTGAATAAAAACAAATCTTTGACTTATATGCCAAATTGGAAGACAAAAAAAAAAATGTTAGGACGAGCTTAGTTCGGTCGAAATCGAACATAAATATTTTCGTAAAGCCTGACACGAAAGGTGCATGACAGGTCAAACTACTTAGCCGATATGTTCTTTAAAGTCTACCAGATGGAAGGCCATGGGTATATTACCCTTGGAAGTCCCCTTATAATAAGCATAACATGCTCATTTTATTAAAATATCTTCAATGGCCGATGTATACAATATAAACTTAAATGTTAGAAAGGAGACCCTTATAATCCGATATTTGTGGGCTGCTAGAAGATGGCTCAGTGTACAACTTTTCTTTATTTCATTAAATCTAGTAAAAAAAATCGAACGTTTTTGCTTTAAAGTGAAGGTTTCATTTAGTATGGTTAGAATGATCCAATTTAGGTCAAATACGGACAGTTTTGTTGAATAACCTGTCATCATTAACTTAATTTCATAATGCCACTACCTAAGAAGCACTCGTCCCTTTTGTCAAAAAGCTCAGAGTGTCGATTCTTCATCAGCAAAATCATCGCCATAGTCAGGTACAGGTAGTAAACACTTTGTGCTAGGTGCGGGCCATAAAGAGGGATGCATATTAAGCTCCCAACCAAGCTCGTGGTACTTCTACATACAACTACGTGGTACTTGTACATGGAACCCAATTCCTCTCCTATTGGTCAAGGCTAGTTGCTCTTGAGCAATTGCTTCCTTCAGCCGGTTCAATGATGGACATTAAAGGTCTAAATTAAAAGTTTGGCCATTAGCGAGCAGCTCATAGTAGATGATTCCCTGCCAAACTCTCCAAACACATAACAAAAGCATCCGGACCTGAACTTTCACCGCGATTCGGTCCACTTTTTATAAATACTAACCATTCGCTTCAGAAATGGATCGATCGATCAGCAAAGATTCGCAGATGGGAAGTCGGTTCATGACGTCTTTTTGCGTTAACTCGTCACTCCAGGCTCGGAACCATAACACTGTTTATGGAATAAAAACAAAAAAATATGGCGCATTTTCTCCCTGCTGTTGCTCATCTATATATAAACCATTACAATAACTTTATCAGACCTCCGCCGACTTATGCATTGCCTTTTACTACCATACCAATAACCAATAATTTTTTTAGAACGAGCATTCAATTCACCGACAAAAGCACAACTATGTAGGTACACTACATTGTGAGCAGCAGTACACACTGTTCCACTCTCTGGAAGTTTGACTTTCAATGTATTTTATTTATAGACTTGTGTACTTTCAGATGTTAGCGTATATATTACGATTGTTGTTGCATACGACTTTTACCACACAAATCTAAATAAAAGCAAATGTGAGTGTGGCAGCAAGTCAGTTAGTTGGAAATTCTAGTGAACAGCAGTTTTATTGTTCAAACTGACTAGTTGACAATCACTGTGGCACAATATGGCTGTAAACCAACAATAGGACATGTACCAAACATACAAACATAGGGACAACTACTACACAATTGTATTGATGGTATTGTGTCTTTGTCATTAAAAGTTAATTGAAAATCGTTTTTTATAGCGTCAACGAGAGTGTCATTAAATATAGATGTTTATATGTAGTCTTATAAAGCTCTGTGTGCAATACTTTATACCTAACGGTAAGTTAAATTTATTTGTCTGTTCAGTAATACTTGGACATAGAAAGTTTTAATAGACTTAACAATATGTCACACTCAAACAGCGAGGCATAAAAGCAGAATATTAAATTCTTGGGGCTTTTAATTTCACAGCAGAGAATGAACTCTGCAAGCAGATAACTAATATCTTATATCACCGGAATTCTTCCTAGTGCGCTTTGCTTCACCAAAACCAAAATTAGAATTCATTTATATTTATTATTATATTTAATGTGACAGGAACTTAAGTTAATCTCGAAGAGTGAAATCTTAAATCTACCAAAAAATAAATCTAAGTATAGTATAATGCTGATCTGTTTCATAAAACAAGGAAAAGCATTAACTACGGTTGCACCGAAGCCCTAATACCCTAAACGGATGTATTTATCAGGGTATAAAAATTTAGGTGATTTTTAGATATTTGTCGCAGTCATATCATAACTCTGTCATTATTGTAGTCAAACTTTCAACTACTTTAAAAATGAACCGTGCGAACATAATTTAATCAGCATCTTTCACGGACTTAGAGCAATAGCAAATAACAACATTTTAACATTATTATCCATCAATCATTGAAGATGTTTTCCCATCGGTGCATTTCTTTATAATGTGGAGGTTTGATTATGTCAAATTTTATGACAGTTGTAGCCTAAGTATTGAAAGTTGCTAAGTAAATTTGAAAGCAAATTATGACCGCACTTTTCGAGACTAGTTCATGAAAAGTTGGTACTAAATGTCATTTGAAATATTTTCAAAATCGAAAAAGTCAGTTTCATGTCATTGATTTTGACATAATGTAAACCGTGAATTAGGCTATGGGAAATTATATGGACATATATGAGATGACCCCTGAGATAAAGAGAAGAGAAAGGGAGAGAGAAGAAAATAAAGAAAAAGAGATACAAATATAAAGGAAGAAAGAAAAAGATAGAGAGAAAGACAGAAAATGATCCGGAGAAGAGGAATAAAAAGAGGAAAGATAAACAAAGAGAGAGTGAGATAACAAGAGGAAAAAAAAATACAGACAAATGCCCCATAAGTGCCGTTTCAGACAGGGATGCAAAAGAGTCTGATGTTTTTCAAATTTTCTTTTGGTGTCGCTCTGGGCATTCACACGGTCAAAAAGAGTCCAGCAACTCGAGTCTAGTTTTTCTGCATTCCTTTTCACAAAATGTTCGTAAATATTTGTGCGGTTCGACTGCGCAACACCGCGCAACACTGCGTGCTGCGTATTTCATTTGTATGTTGAGATGATGGTCCCACATTTTGCTTGCAATGAATTACCATGAATATGGTAGAACAATATGCATAATACAAGTACCTACCCGCTAAATAGTTTCAAAGAAATACTAAAGACGGGAATTCCCTAATCCACAAGAATGTATTGAATATCCGCAACTAATATTTTCAAGGCCAAATTTATAATAGGAATTTTCTAATCTTTAAGTATTAAAAACTCATAATTTCTTTACTCCGTCTTAAAAATTCATAATTTCTTTACTCCATAATCTATATCTTAATTTTCTCCTTATTTACAATTTGTCATAATATTTCTATTATTCTATGCATACGTATTTGCATATTACATACAAAAATAGATAACAGAACTCAAATTTGCGATCGAATTCATTTGAAACCGAGCGCTCTTGCAACCATTCAAAGAATTTGAAAGTGAAAAGGAATGCTGAAAAGGGTAGCAGCGAGCTGTTACGAACAAGAACACAAAGCGTGCCACCCGAACACGAGTGGCACGGTCCCTTCGTCTTTCCTCGTCATCCCCTCACCCACAATAAACTGGTATGAGACTCTTTTGCGTCCCAATGTGAAACGGCACTAACGATCGCTGTTTAATCTAATTTTGTGAGGCTATTATGAGGAATTTCATTAACTACTGCCTACATTGCGAGCACCTCAAAGCAATCTAGATCTTTATAACAATTCAATAATTTCAAATCGAATGATGTCATGTCGTCCCATGAACGAGTATGTCTTAGAGTCATCTCTACTGCCATGTGTTATCATAAATTAACCAACGCAGCAACCGTCTTTCGCTCAGGTTCAAAGAAATCTTTCCTCGCAGTTCACATTCCTCAACGATATAAACTTTTATAACAGTACATCTACTTCGTATCGTAAAGTGGACGGCGCCAAGTAAAGCCATGCCCTTGCCTTCTATAAATTCCAATAACCTAGATTTCCTAGTTATCTCAATTTTCTTATAACTCCTAGGAACATAAAAAATTATAAAGGCGTAGTGAATAAATATAATGCAACGAATATAATTAAATTGCATTCCTCGGCAGTAGAGAGCAGCGAGCTGGAAGAAATTAAATTAGCGCACAACGCGCGCCTGCATAAATATTTATGCAATTTTCCTCATAAATTAATGTTAACTTAAGCGCATTTACACTCCGCACACACACCCACACACACACACATATACAGTTTGGATATTTTTCACTTATCTCTTTTCGCAATTCTTTTCACTACTTTCAGTTCTGCGCTGTCTCCTCTTCACCGCATTGACGGCGGCAACTGCTACGGTGACGGCCACGCCGTTTGTGGCGCAAAACTCATTGCTCTTGCTGTCACAACAAAAGCTGGAGCAACACTCGCACAACAACAACAACAACACAAGTAGTGGTAGCAGCAGTAGTAGCACCTTTCCGTCGACTTCAGCGCATAATTACAATCACCGACACACAATGCTACCCGCCACGCTCGCGTCCCCCGTAACGCAACCACCAGCATTGGCACCACCAGCAATACGGAACCGTATGATGGATATTGAGGTGTTGAACGGCAGCAGTTACTCCGACACCTTGAAGAGTCTCTCTTCGACCATCGAGGATGCGGAGGCGGGGCAGGGTGACGTAAATCAGCTGCCAATCTTTGACTTTGGCTTGCCGCGTAATATAACGGCACGTACCGGTCAAGCGGAAGCTGCAATTAAATGTCGAGTCGAGCGCTTGGACGATAAGTCGGTAAGTGGATGGTGAGGTGTATACCTACACCATATGTATGTATCCATGTAGATATGTGTATATAATATATAGTTTGTATTGGAAAAGGTAGCACAGAAACCCAGAGTCGAAAAGGTGGAAGAGTTTGAGCGTTAAGGCTGAAGTGGTCAAACAGGGTAGGGTATATAATTTTGAAGAGGAAACCAAAGGCAATTTAGGTGTGAAGTGTGCAAAACCCGAAGGAGTAATAAATGAGTAGGATGTGGCAAAATCAAATAGCTTGTAGCTATGGCTCCTCAGCTGAATACCAGAAGAGGTGTACACCGTTGTTCTGCTTCTTGAATTTAAATTTGTGAAAGTTTTCAAAATCCGCTGGCCTTCTTAATAATGTTATCGTATTAAATACGATAATGTTTCGGTTAAAACAGTAATTAAATACCACCTCTTTCTATTCAAAATCAGTGAAATCAGACATTATATATGATTTAAAAATGTTGCTTCAGCTTTAATTATCGGTCTTGTTACTTCCTGATTTTCATGCTTTTAATTCGGCGTTACCTAGAATTGATAGATTCGACCAGATCGATTATTGAAAATAATTTTAAAAATATTTATTGAAGATATGCTTATCATCCCCCCGGGAGCCTCCTATAATTTCTTGTCAGTCCTTTCTTTGTATCCTTTTATAAGGTGAAATTTAAACTGCATCTGTCCAAACTCTCCGGTCTTTTAAAGTTCTAAAAATGTTTCACTATCGTTAAAACTTTCTTCAATCTTGAGCGTACATACACACTGTGAAGCTTTCGTGAGAACTTTGAGTTCAAGTGCCAAATAATCTTCGTTACTTCGATATCGGATTGATTATTCGACCTCATTCAAGATTCTATAAAAGTTTTTATATTTGGTCATAACCACATTCTATAACTAGATCTTCATTTGACCACAGTCCTCTCACAGACAAGGTCATTGGCATCCCTCATTTTATATACGCGAACTAGTCCCTCATATTTTGAGATATCGATCTGAAATTTTGCACACATATTTTTTTCCCAAAGAAGCTGCTTATTTGTCAGAATCGCCGATATTGAACCACTATAGCAAATAACTGCTAAACAAACTGACCGATCAAAACCAAGTTGTTGTACGGAAAACTTGTTTACTTTACAACATATTACCGATACAAATCGTGATAAAGATTTTTTTATACTCTTTTATGTTGTAAAAAATATACCGTGAACGGTTATAGTTAACGTTTTTTCCGGTTTTTTTTTTTCAAGAAGTCGACGCCTTGCAGTCAAGGGAAAGGTCTTTCTGTTTTTAAAACGTATTTACATATATACATTTGGAACTAAGATAAATACTATTCCTAAATTTTTAATAAAGGTGCTTTAATGTTAACTCAAATACCCTGCAGACGCACCATTGCTGTTACTACCACAAAAATTTTCACATTCGTACAAACGTAAACAGTGCCAAAATTATTATGCTCACGCCACAGTGTGCAGATGGTCGAAAAAAGTCGCAACCCACTTCTGTCGCCCACTTATATGTTCTTTTGTGGTTTTGCCATTTAAGTTGCACTTTCGACACAGAAAAACAAACGAACGAAAAAACTCAAAAAGGGAGATACTTCAAGCGCTACTCAACGCCATAACCCTTGAGAGCCCGCACACACACACTTTTTGGCACCGAATTCTGTTTACGACTGATTGACTCGCTGCTGCGTCGCTTCGCATTTTAATGCCACATCAATGGTAGTTTTATTTAATTTCCTCTTAACCCTCGCACTCATTTCTCATTTCGATCGAGGCTCATTAATCAATTTCCGTTTGCCACTTCCGTTACGGTTGCGGTTGTGCCGATTTGTGTTCGTCTTTTTTTCCACTCTTTGCTTGAAAGCAAATAATACATTCCTTTTTCTGCTTTACAGCTGTGAACAGGCATTTTTTATTTTGTATTTTTTTTATTTCACTCTCCTTGCCTTTATATGACAAACTTTCCATTTTCATTCACTAACCTCCCTTTTTCTCAATTTTCTTTCTTGGTGCTTCGCTTTCGTTACATACATCGCTCGCTGCTGCTTATTTGACTACCTTGGAACGCTACGCTCGCACTGGCGGTCTGGCTGCGATGAATGGTTGGTTTGCTGGTTGAATGAATGGATGGGCGGTCATCAACAGGTCTCGTGGATACGTAAACGTGATTTGCATATACTAACCGTAGCCACGGCGACGTACACATCGGATAAACGCTTTCAGGTGAGCGCACGCGATTCACACCAGCTCGAGAGCTACTTAACACTTGTCTAACAAATTAATAATTCGTTTGAACTCTGTATTTACCTTCGCATAGAGGGAGTTGTGTTTGTATGCAGGTCAATATCTACATACAGACAAATGGATCGGTTTTTATAATACTTTGGTTAAATAAATTAAAAGTGAAAGTAATGAGGACAACAGTACATATTAAGTCAACTTTTCCGGTTTTCCCATTTAATCTGCTTCAAAAGCGATATATCGAGAGCATGCTATATCGGTCTGGCCAAGGTGTTGAGGGTTTCCGGCTGATACTATTCGATTATTTGCGCCATTTTCCGTTGGCCAAACCGTTTATCTTGTCCACCGAAATGGACATCATGAATAGATAATAGCAGTTAGCGCACTTCTTCCGGTCCGACATAACTGAGCATCCAACAGTATTTCCACATACGTAGTAATCGAATCCACTAAACGGGATTCTCTGGGTTCAAGCTGACATAAGTCTTTACTCTCCTTTTGAAAACTGGAGATTCCGCTGAAAACTTGGTTCCAGCTTTCTGTTTGCAATATAAACATATCTAAACAGATACTCAGTGGCCGCCGAATAGATTTCGACAATCTGTTTGATACTTTTTTTTCGGGTATAAAAACAAAAAAATCATCCAAAATCATTAAGCAGGCATAATTTAATAATATGGAATTCCGTTCGAAGTTAGATTGCATAGAAATTCTAAGAACTTAATAGTTTCGAAAAGATCTATCTCATTCACACTTCTTTGAATTTTCGAAATCTACTATACTACGCTGCAACGCACGTCTATGTGCATCTCCTTCGTTAGGCTCCCACCCATATGTTTAACAAGTAAAGCTGAGTATAATATATATATTTACACTCACTCAAATGTAGGTAAATGACACATTTCAATCAACTTCATCGATCTTAATTCCTACCAATGGCACAATCTGCTAATGTCCTACCACTCATGGACTGAGTACATAATCGAGTGTGTGTAAATACATATTGATATATGTTGTTATGTGTGTGCATATACATATATATAAGTGTCTGTATTGTCCATCACTGATTGTCCTACATAAAGCCGAGTTCCATTACTTCGTATATGTACATATTCATTTATGTACATAGCTATATGCATCTTTTATTCACGATGTAGGAAATTCCATTTGGCAGAATTTTCTATGAAGTTTGCAATTTGAAGGGTGGCCCGATAAGTTCCTATAAAATATACGAACTTGAGAAGAGTCTTCTTTTGGAAAGAAAAATGTAATGAAAATATAGTCAACAATTGGTTCCGTCTCTGAAGACCCATTAATGTCTACATTAAAGTCAGTGATTAACAAAATATGTTCTCTCAAGGCCAGCGAAACCTTCAAGGAGGCAGTGCAAGGGTGATTCTACAATCCACATAATTTTCACACAATATCGATGATTGAAATCTGAAAATCGGACAAAGATTCTACGAAATTCGCAACTACTGGCACACTCTCCCAACATAGCCTCTCAAAATAAGTGACGCACATGTAACAGATTCGGATCGAACAAACCATTTACAACAGGCAGTTATAACCATTAAAGAGAACATGCAACTAGTCACCAGCTACGTCAGGCATTCGATGTCTTTTGTGCATCAAGCTGCTATCGTAAATTTCATATTTTTATTGACTTTGTTGCTCTGAACTGCAATTGCACTTTATGTCGACTTTTATTGTATATGCAAATGCATACATACGTACATATACATATATCTGAATATATGCGTACATATTAAAAATGTTTCCATTCCAGGTGACTTCGTCGAAAGATGGACGCGAATGGACGTTGCATGTGAAATCGCCGCAGGCTCGTGACACCGGTATCTATGAATGTCAGGTGAATACCGAACCAAAAATGTCAATGGCATTTCAATTGAACATCATTGGTAAGTGCGAAAATATACTATTTCTATATATATATGCCGATAGATATCTAAATATAGAGATGTTCATGAAATTTGCATTTATATTCGTACATAACAAAGCCTGCATAAAGGTTATTTAAAGAGCAGTCGTCATACTTCTCTTTCTGATTGTAAGGTGTAATTTGTAACATCCAGAAAGAAGCGTCGGAAATCCTACAAAATATATGGTATACGGATATAAATTATCACGATTTGAGTCGATTTAGCCATGTGCGTTTGTCGGTATATAATTGCATTTTTCTATAAATTATTAGCTAAAATGATTTACTCTTCAAGTGGATTTAAATTACAACGAAATAGGCGGTTGGTTAGTATTCAGAAAATCTATCTATAAAATTAAATATTTCAGTAAACAAAAAAAATTTCCAAAACGTTCAAAATGTTTCAGTTTAAATATTTTGCATATTTACATATACTTGTATATGCATTTTCTCTTGCTCTCTCATATTTGAACATACATCGGCATTTATTAATATGTAAACTGTCCTCTACACACACAAACACTTAAAGTCAATAAGTGCAAGTAAATTGTGGCAAAATATTTGTATTAAAATAAATCGGTCACATTTATTTGCATTTAATTCGATAGCGAGAAATTTGCATATATTAAAAAAAAAAAAGCCGTTATTGAGCGCATTTACATGCATATAAGCATATCACGATATGTTTTGACACATATGCCTAATGGCATAAGTATATAATTACGTCATAGGCGCAAATAAATAAAGTCATAATTACGCTTGTTTAGCAAATTGCGCGCGTTGTAGCTACATTTTGTGAAAACTCTTGACTTTCAAATGCATACTTGTAAAGTTGTTTTTGTTAAACTCGTATTTGCAATATTTATTATATTGAAATTTGCAATTTTGTATTTTTCTGCTTCAATAGTTATTTATTTGGGCTAGATGGAAGTAAGCAATAATTGCCAGTGTGTAGTCCAACATATTTAAAATTATAATTTTTACCTTTAGGAACACTGTGCGGCATAAGAGAGTGTATGGAATTTTTATGGATTAAATATTACAAGCAAGCAAACATTTATGTAAAAAAATTAAAATGTGTTCACAGTTCAGTCGCAAAGGTCTTCAGTTGTTTGCTTGACTTATATATTGTCTTTCGAAAAGCTTATTTGATCCTCTGGAACGTTAGAAATTTAGTAAATTCTGACGAATAAATAATTATTTTGGTATGAGCATTACCCCGTTCCATAACGAAAATATTGATTAATATGGTTTGAGTCGATCCTTAAGAATTCTTGAGAATTCCTGCTAACAAAAAGCTGTTGGGAATCAATTTGCTTCGCTTTTCCGATTTATTTTATTAAAAGAATTGCGCGACGGGTCACTTGAGCCATGTTTTTCTACTCACTAACGTTCTTCGCATGAAGTAGCTTCAGTTTTCTGAATATTGCAAATCAATTTGGGCCTCATCTCTTGAAATGAAAATATAACACTTTAGATTTCCCTTTTGATAGCCATATTAAGAAGCACTTCAAGTTAAATCTTTTTGTATCTAAAGGTTACACATAACAAGAATTAGCTGTATTGGCAGATCGTCTTAACCTTCAACATACTGATAATAATACTGCAGAGCAAAAACTGATATAGGTATCCCCTCCCTGTTTCGCAGTTAGCCTTCAAAATCGAAATATTTGCCTTCGAAGTTCATAAATCAGCTTATTTCAAACATTATTATTAATTTTACCAGCCGAGTGTTGTACAGTGTAATTATAAAGTGTAAAATTGTTAATGGATAAAAGAGACAATATATCGTCGGTAAATATTATAGGCGATTTGAGGTTATGTGATCCTAATGACATGGTATTTGCAGAGGATATATTAATAGTAGGTCTCAAAGGCTTCTCAAGGATACCAAATGTACTTAGAGTTGAGTTATAAAGCACAAATTTGGCTTACGCACCCAATAATAATAGCAAGCCTTGTGCTGAAGAAACAAAAATTGTCTTTTTTTCGAACATAGGTTTTTCTAGGCAGAATTTTCTTTAAAGATTTCATTCAGGGAAAAAGCCGAAAATTAGTCCGCCAAAAAATTAAAAATTTAGAAAGATTTTAATATTACCCAAGTCATTTTTGGCTTACCAAACATTCGTGGAGCCTATTAGTAATCCTTTGTCTTTCTGTTGCAGTGGTCAGAGAAAAGACCCCACCTTTTAAGGCCCGTTCCGCTTAACAAAACTACAAAACTGTTACTACCTTGTTAATGAATCTATTTTTGTCGCGCAGTGCATGTAAAAACACTGAAAAAATAAATTAATATTTAATGCGACTGTTATTATTTTTAATTTTACAAAATCATACCATTATTTCCATAATACTTCCATAATGATATGACTTGTATGTAGTTACACATTTAAGTGGAACTGTCGTCCAATTTACCTGCTCAGCGGTGCGTATGAGCAGCAATATGCTGATAGGCAGAAAAATGAGCGATGAAAATTATGAATAAATTGTTGTAGTTTGAGAGACAGGTGGTCGATAATGACCCGTTTAAATATGCAACGCGACGCATAAAATTTTAGTAGAATTGGTACAGCAATTAAAACAAAGCTTGAGTGTGTGTAACAAATATATAGTATCAACTCCCATACCATATCTTAAATCATTTTTCTGTCGATCAATACCGTAATAGCAGACAGTTTAAATCTTACCATTTGATTGAAATTTAGCTTACGCAGTATAAACATCAGTAATAATTCGCGCATCACTCATACGTCATGTAGCACCAAACGCACTGAGGGACTTCTTTCAATAATGGCGTTGAGACATCATTAAATGCGATGTAGCTTACACTTTCGGGATAAAATATGCTTTGAACACGTTTTGTTGTCATCAATGAAAACTTTGTGCAGCATTTATTTATTTATTATTTTTTCTTTTGCATAAAATCACAATTGCGCTAAATGTTCGACTTACTATATTGACATGAGCTTTTTGGGCATACTATTTTCGATACATATTACTACAAAGGTTTTTGATTATGGTAAAAATTCAATCTCAACATTTTAATTCTCGAAAATTTGCTGACTGATCTCTACGTCTTATACCAGAGTTCGACCATGCTTACCAAGATGATATTGAACAACAAAAATAATTTTAAGAACCAAAACTAATTCTTTTATGAACGTTTGAAGAACACTTAGTCCTAGAACTCTCACGAAATTCAAACGTTTTTAGGGGTCGTTGAAGCATTAAGTAACTTAATTTTGCGCTTTGTGCTTAATTCAAATCTCATCATCATGCTGATATGTGTATGTTAATCCAAAATAAGTATAAAATCGCATTACGTAACAAACGGCAAAATTCCGAAGCACTTGCAGAAAGTTACATCCAGTGAATTTCTTGCATAAGCGCTGTGTTATAAGAGCCATCAATCACCCGCTCCATCGACACTTCTCCACTGAGTGAGTTAAAAAAATTATACTTATTTGGACAAAAACAAGAGCAGAAGAGCACGTGGTGTAGCAAAGCAAGTAAAGTTCGAGAGCAACACCCCAAATGATGGCACTAGCAATGGTATAGCCATAATTATAGCTGATTGAAAATTTTCGAATCAATAATCAACTAATGCAGGCTAGTTTTAAAGAGTTTGAAAAACTGCTTCAGCCGGCTGAGCATTGATTTATACAATAACCCTGCATAGGAGGAAAATTTAATTTAAGAGACGACGGTATTTAAAAAAGAACTTCGTTATCGCAAAATTAAAAATCACTAAACCTAAATAAAACTCCAGTACAGTATTTTTTTTTGGAGAGATCAATGGCTGGTGAAGTTCATGTGGAACAAAGTCATCTTATAATGAGTACTGTACCTAATTGGAATTTTGCAGATCGAGGTCATTACCTGAATACTTTCATCTACATTTGACTGTAATGAAATTTTGTACGGCGATGGCGTGCCTTGAAGGTGCGTGTCTAAGCTAATACTTTATCAAGCGACCGATTACCATAATTTCAGCTATGCTATTCTAAGAAGACTTTACTTGCATTTAATAGTTGTACTTTGCTCTCCACAATATTACATCTCTCCTGTGCTGTGTTTAGCTCTTCACAATCTTACATCTCTCCGAAATTAGATTAGTAAAGCCACAAACCACTTCAACATCAATTCAGATTATTTAAAAATGTTTTACGCTTTTGCTTGCAACCTTTTGATCTACAGCTGGCTGTCACAAAACCTTAACAAATAGTCATATTAAATTTACTAAAAAATTATTCGCGCAAAATTTGTTAATGCGAGCATTAAAAACTCTTAAATGCAACTTTGCAAATTTGCGTACACAAATTAATGGAATCACAGAGGCGATAGCGGAAAATGCCAAATGTAAAAATCTTTTCTGGGTAATTAAAAGAATCGATAAAATTAAAAGGCCACAAAGACACACTGGTGTACGCATACGTTCAATTTATATGCAAATTTATAAAGCCAAATGCCGCTCTCGCCTCGACAACTGATTAATGTTGTTAAACATTCGCAATTTTTCGCACTGAAATGCCGTTATTTCGAGGTCTTGTGTATAGGTATGCATGTATATCCGATATGCTTGGATTGGATAAAGAGTGAATATTATAACTGCCATTTAAATGTGTTTTCTGCCGCCGCAAAGCATTTCATGTTAATTAGCACGGTCAGTGTGAGGAATTGGTAATAACAGTGTGTTCGTCATATTTCTATTTGTCATGCAATACTTCATGGCCACACTGCGATTGGAATCAACGCGACAAATTGAGAGAGAGCAAGTTTTATTGGAGGTTGAAAGATTAACCGAAAAAAGAAGAGAAATGTGAATGTACGAAAGTAGACTTCTAGCAGTAGGTCGAAAAATCATATAAAAAGTGATCGGATCATACTTAATATCTTATGGATGGTTTTCCGCAGAAAAAACTAACGAATTAACTGTAATTTAATTTAATTTAATTTAAACTAAGTACTAAAGATTGTGTTCCGAACCCACGCATGTCGATATGCAATTTAAAGTTGGTGTTACATTTCAGTTCATGTAATAACGTCGTTTTTTATTAGTTTGTTTAATAAAATGTCTCTTCAAAACCCAAATTCACAAAACACGCGTTTTTTTCTGACTTACAAGTGACTATAGTCCCTTAAATTAAACTTTAAATCATTTTACGGTTACAGGTTTAATCTAACACAAAATCAAGACTTACTTGACTTTTGCTTTGTCAATGTGTCAGGTATGCGAATGTGCTGTTATGCGATTATTAGTGTTGAAAAATGTTCCTAAATGTAGATAACATTAAACTCATATGTCAAACATAAAATGTTGCCTACATTTAGGATGAATCCTTATAATTTTATGCTTTCTGATGCGCTCTGAATTGCAATAGTCTGGGTCTCCGCTTTTTTTGATACTATACAACAACGATTAACTCCACAGCTGATCACAATATGCGTCCACAATTAAGAGTTAATTAAACTATGCTCGCCAATGTTGATTATGAGTGTGTTCAAGCAAATTAGTTTTGATTTTTTTTTTGCAACTTTGTTGCACTGCAGACCAAGCCAAGCGCCAGCTGCTCCAGTAAAAAGCAACATGGAATAGAGAAAATGGGAACGACGAGTAACGATGTGTTATTTTAAAGCGCAGTCTCATTTGCATTGCAGCAGCCAGCAATTTAAAAGCTCTGAGGCGTTTGTGTTGTATATTCTCGACTCTCTCTCCGCAACACCTTACTGCTTTTCACCACTTTGGTGCATGCAAATTAAATTCTTATGCGGCGTTTCTTCGGACTTTATGCGCCATGACTTCTGAATGGCCTTGAATATGCGCTAATTTGCCTTGCAACCAACCGGAAGTGGCACAATATTAAAGTTGCGGCTGAGCTGCAGAGTTTTAATTAAGACAACTTGCCGGTCTCCCGCTTGCAGGGCGGTTTATTTTTTTCGGCGCCTAATTAAACTATGCATTCGCTTATGTAAAAATCTGCTGCACGCAAAAATACCGCAAATTGGCGAATGCAGAGGCTTATTGTGGCCCAGCAAAGCCACCACTGCTCATCTGTGGCGCCTGAATGCAATTGCAACCTCGCTAATTAGCTTCGGCATCGGCGGTCTTGCCGGCAGCCAGAACAGTACTTCCATGCCAGCTGCTGTACATAGAATCCGCATAGTCGCCTGCGTATGTATGTATGTATGTGTGTATGTCAGAATAACAAATTGGAAAGCTTACTTTGTGGCATGAAAAAATATTTTTAATACACAAAAATAATAAATTTTTAAATTACTTATGAGCTCACAGAGACACAGCCGACTTTCAGCGGTTGCTCTGCGTAAGGATATGCTATCAAAGGGCTCAAGTGTACTCACTGCAGCGTATTTGTATATATTAAAAGGAAAACGGATGCGAAGCACGATTTAAAACGTCAATGCTTCGGCGAGGCGCGTTTCTGAGGTGATCAATAATAAATTCGAGAGCGCTACAATAAATGCGTAGCCTCACTGCCCGATAGCAACGTTATAGCAAGAGAAATTTGCTGTCGTGTAGTTATCACTTGTAAACAATTGCTGTAAAATTCCATTTGAAACGGACTCGTACTTATGTTTTGACCGCGTGTGGATTGAATTTAACTACGAACTATTGTTCCATCTACCGTATTATCAAGATTTGTCCACATTTGAAAAAGTTACTCATCGGACAGAAATTTAAGTCGAATGAGTATGTCTATCGCTGTCATATAGGCTACCTGAAATACCTCTAGTAACCGCATTTTTCAGCCGGGTTAACGAAGCATGAGAATCGCTGTGTCAAGTGTCTCAAGCTAAATGTGGTCTATAATGAGAAAAAAACGCGATTTTGCAAAATTTTCGCATAATAAGAAATAAAGTTCACGAAGCCCTCAATTTGTGGAATAATTTCGTTTTCGGTTTTGCCTAAACTTAGACCTTCCTTACTTCTTTTATAATATTTTTTTATAAACGAAATCTGTGCTGATTTTTCGCAAATAAATATTTACTAAATTAAGTATGTCATGTAGATATTGCATTTATATATTGTTTGCAGCTGATTTTTATTGTAGTTATTGTTCATTATGAAATTATGTTGAATTAATAATTGTGAATTTACTTTTCCATATTTAAATAATTTTATTTTTACTTTTGTAGAAACACATATGTATATTTACATTGTGTATATGGTATATATATTTCACATATACACTACCCCATACACACACACATGCCTCGGAATTTTATTATCACATTATTTTTCTTTATTTTTATTGTTGTTTTTTCAACCACTATTTATATTTACTCATGTATTTTCTTTACTTTGCTTTGCTTGTGTCACCACAGAGATACCCGCCGATTCGCGCGCCATCATCAGCGGCCCGGCCGATCTGCATTTCAAAGTCGGCAGCGCAATAATACTCAGCTGTCATGTGCAACAGCCGAGCGTTCGTGATATTGGACCGATTTATTGGTATCGCGGTGAGCATATAATTACGCCATTCGAGCTGGACGAAGATGAAGAGAGCGACAGCGACATCGTCATCAACAGCAACAAAAACAAACATAGTCATAGCAACGCTGGCGGTGGCATGGCTACACCAGCGCTGACGGGCAATGAGCTGGCTGCTGATGTGACAGCGCCGATAACAAATGCCAAGGCATTGACTGCTGCTGCCGGTGGCCCGAGCGCAATGGCGGCCACAGTGCCGCACGATGGCTTAAGCAATGACATAACGCCGGACTTCACGGCGCGTATCGCCATGGAATCACAGTTGGGCGACACAATGAAATCAAGGTAAGTCAGCGCAGCGGCAGACTCATTCCGATTGTCCAAAAGCCACAATCAGGTGTAGTGTGGTGATGCAGGGGGTGACGCGATAGTCAGCGCTTAAGCGTGCAAAGGCGAAATGGAAAGCGCTGTCAGACTTGTCGGCGCTTTGAGCATGTCAACATGCAAATGCATGTGGCAAAGTACTGTCGCTTATCTTTATCCGGCATGCAGCTACTGTTGCATGTGTTAATGTGTGTGCGGGTGTGTGTGTGTGTGTGTTTGCCTGCACTTGTCACATTGGCTTTGATTACACTGTGCGGCACAGCATAAATAAATATTTGAGCCTTTATATTTCAATTCATTGCCTTCAATATCTCAAGGCGCCTCCTTTGCCGAGCGATGTCAATCGGCGCACACACACATCTACATATACATATTTATCGCGTCAGCGTCTGACTGTTGTGCGTTTCATAGCGCACTTGCGTTGCGTCTTGCATTTTCACACTCATCCATTACACACACACGCACACACTCATAAGTGACAACTTGTATATGTCTCCATTAATATGCTCACGCTTCTGCTTCTTGCTCTTCTACTTCTTTTTCATTGCGCTCATCATCAGGTTGCGCATCTCGAATGCACAGACAACGGATACAGGGAATTACACTTGTCAGCCGACAACGGCGAGCAGCGCTAGCGTCATGGTGCACGTGATTAATGGTGAGTAGTTTCATTTGTTGCCACTGCTTCTACTTTTTACTTATTTCCAGTACGCGCATATTCGTATCTAGCTAGCTATGTTCATACGTATGTATGTATGTTTGTGCGGTTATGTGCGCATTTGTCTCTCGTGACAGAAGTAAAGGATAATGCAAGGCTCCTGCCTTTTTCGCTTTCATAAATATCCTTGGTAGCAAGGCATCCAATTGGTTATTTGGTGTTAAAGGTTGACGCGATGGTGCCACAGTGAAGCAGACATATGCATACATACATAAGTACATACATATATATACATTCTTGCAACGCGCATCGTGCCATATTAGGTGTTGTAAATTATCTGAAGACGGACATTGATGCGAGTACCAGACCTTATTGCGTTAAAGCGGCAAAAAAAATTGCATTACGTAATTATTTTGTTGGTTACATGAGCCAATACAAGAAAAAACGGTAACTTCGACTGCACCGAAGCTATAATACCTTCACAGGTGTATTTCTATAGCAACTATAAGACTTTGATCAGTCAGTTTGTATGGCAGCAATATGGTATAGTTATCCGATCTGAATAATTTGTTCAGAGCTTGTAGCGTTGCCTTGGACATCTATCTGTTACAAATTTCGTGAGGATACCTTCACAAATAAAAAAGTTTGTCATAGAAGAACATGATTTTGATCGATCAGTACGTAAGCAGTTATCTCCTTTCGAATATACTTCCATTTCAAAGACCTAGGCAGACCCCTCCTGGCATTTATTATTTTAGATCTTTAAGTATTAAAATTTTTAAGATTTCACCTTTAAATTTTTGTTTTTATAATGTTCTTCATCTGTGTCATAATCCATATCGCAATATTTCCATAAAACTCAGTGGCAATATTTCTAGAAACTTTGTACCGATTTAATCTCCATTAAGAAAGATGAACTAAAAAATACAGTGTTGCTCTGTAAAATATTTCACAAATAGTTTTGAGAATTGTTACTGTGGTGCTACTTGTTCAGCGGTAAAAATATTAAGTCCTTTTGATTATGTTAATACTAAAATAATAATGATGAAAAGAAAAAGTAATGTGTCATGCTATAACTCGGTTGTGCTGTGTAGTTTTCCATTTATAAAATGTAAAACACGTGACATTTGCGATAGAACTATTGGGTAAATATTGAAAAAGAACATGTGTTTATACCCATATATGTATGTACCACGGAAATCATCGAATCGATCGAAACAAAACTAAATTTAATTTCCTATAACAAAATTTTCATTCTAATACTTCTAATATTTCGACAGCAGAAACGCTACCTTTAGTTTCATACAAATTAAGAAAATTTTTTTGCAATTACCCATTTTGTCCATAAGTTAGATTAGCTTAAGCATTTCAAGGAATATTCAAGTATGTGTCTTTGTTAAAATATGAGTTTTGTGCGCCTAATTGTAGGCAACATTATTCATTAACGTTTTTATATAAGAACTGGTGTAAGCAAGAAAATTATATTAACGACATACCATATCACACATTGTTTTCCCCACTGTGTGGCAATCGTTTCATTGCGTCAGTCAACGACTTAGTCAAATTTATAGCTCGCAGGAGAAGATCTGCGAAGTAGCGCCGACCCAGCAGAGTACACTAAACGCACAGCACGCAGGAGAGCTGCCGACACGCCCTGTCATTGTTATTAATTGTACTTGAACAGCGCGTAGAGGCATTAGCTATGTGCTTACAAGCTTGTCTACATACAAATACATACTACATAGATGTGTAATTGGAGGCGTGCTGCAGCAGCTTCCGGTTCTAGGAGTTTATGCCAACATCGAGCAGCTAGTAATTCCGCAAATGAAATGATTTTGTCATCATTTGTCGCTGGCTGCTTGTCACATTAGCAAACCTACAGGAGCTTATGTGTGTTTGTAGACTACATATATGTGTACATGTGCATGTATGTATATTTACTTGTAGACATGTCAAGTTAGTTACAAATATATTAATATGACAGCAATGAATTCGTTAGATTCCATATTCCTTCACTTCTGTCATTAGTTATATTCTAATTTAAGGTTAGGGCAAAACATAACTGTACATATGTAAAATAGTGGCTTATGATATACTGATACACATATGTATATGTGAATATATAAATGAGTGAATTTAATGTTTTCTTGATCCGTCTTTGCCTGTATCAAAGTCAGAGATCTTATCAAAATATATCAACATTTATATGTATTTTATGTCTTCGCATATGTATACATATATATACCTATATTTATATCAATAATTATGATAATGGGTGTCCTAATATTTGGGTGAGGTTTTGCTTAAACATTTTTTTCTGGTATTCAATTACGAATGCCCTAATTGATTTATAAGTACAATATGTGTGTTAAATAACCCAGTCGTGAGTCGCAGTCTACCATTGCATTCAAAAGATAAGACAATTCTATTTAAAGTTTTCGACTTTTTTCGAAAGGTCTTGACTTTATATATGTCACATATGTTCGCTGAATGTTGTCCAATTATTTTAGAGTGCAAAATTTAAATAATTCGAGATGCTTTAATGAAAAATGAAAAGTAATAACTTGCAGCGAGTTTCAGAAAGCTTGATAAGAGCATGTTTATGCCGAGAGTTCAGTTTTCCCTATTTACAATGGTTCCCAATAATTTAATTATTCAGAGTTACAGAGATACAAGGTATGGCCACGAAATAAGGGGGAATACCGAATAAAAACATTTGACCTACCGCGCGAAGTGGACCGCGCTGACCCATTCACATTCCAAGTATGAAAATTAATTTACTAAATATATCCAGCGAAAAGTTAACATTTTTGCATCGGAAAGAGGGGTAATATTATATTATATATGTACTTATATTTCGGAAAGTATTTTTGTAAAATTCAAAATTTTCCTAAAATTCCGGTTCGTTCGAAATTTTATCCGCATTTTAAGTAGCCATTGGGCAACCTTTTCCTCATAGATATACCAGTTAGCTATTTTCTGAATCACGAAATTTTCCCCAAAGTTCGAGTGTAAACTTCAGTTTTATTCTTTACCGGTCAGCTCTAAGGCCCGAAATTTCTTCATATCCGGGCAGTTCTTTTCTAAGACTTCTAATATTCCTTTTCTTTTGGCCAGCCTTTTTCTCAGGCCTTGAATTTTCCCATATTTTTTCCTTATTTTTTTTCCTTTTTGAAGGCAACGAATTTTTCTCATACTTGGTTCAGTACTTAGCTGAATACCCCAATTTTTCACAACTCCTCATTTACCTCAAAACCCATCACTTTTTTATGAGACACTTTTTTAATCAGTGAGTCCTTTTGTAAGATCCAACATTTCCTCGTATTTCAGCCAGTTTTCCTGATCCCAATATTACCTCATGTGCCAACCAGTTCTTCTCTCACATACCAATTAGACCGATTAGTTCGCTGAAACATCGCGCAAAATTCGTCTACGTTACCATAATTATTGTACTCTTCTACATATTTATACTTCCATTCTAAGCCGAATGGTAAGCTTTTGTCTGCACACCGCTTTTTCGGTTAAATACATTGCTTTCACTAATGGCTGTGGTGCCGTTGCCCATTTATAACTCGGTTCAGCTTAGTGTGGCTTTTTTGTCGATTATGAATGACTTCCTGGTTGAATGGTTAGCTAGCTTTCCTTGTGTGCTATCCATGTGCATAGACTTATGGACTTATACACATGCTCTTATGCTTGTCGGTATGTGCAGCTATCTCTATATACAAGTAAGTACATATGTGTTTATCTATTTGTAAGCACATTTCACATATGGCAGTTGTCAGTAAAATTAATGATTAGAAATGCCCTTTTTTGACTACCACGAACTTAGAAATTATAAACTCATTTTCTTTTGTAATTTGTAAATTTTGCTAATTTAGAAGCATTTAATATTACTCTACTGAAGATTCGAACATATTTTGAAGGATGCATCTATACCAGAAACTACGGTCATTTATTATACTTATTATAGTATTATATTTTATGAAAAGTTTGTTTTTGCTCTGTTTCGTACTCGAATAAACCAGCTTATTTAGAAATTAATTGCATATTTTATATGTATGTCAAAGGGAATCATCGTAATCGAATTGAATTAAGTTGAATTAGTAAAATCCATGCGATTTGTTCGGGCATAAGAAATCCGAAATGATGCCTCACGTCTTAACCTTTCAACCAAAAAATATTGTGAAATTAATCAAATCTCAAATAGTGACAAGGAGATCGACATATTGTAGTGTGCTAGTTCGATTATTTTTTGCATGAAATTAATTGTTTTGTATTTAGTAGAGGTAGAATGCTTGGATTTAGGTTAAATATATACAGCTTTGTTCGATAACTTGTTCCCATTTTGAATTTAATTTTAATGCCTTTCTGATAGAAATCATTCTACTAACAATAAATTGGGACGGTCGATTTTCACTAGCTTCTCTTGAAACCCCAATAACAGCTAATAAACACCCAGACTGTAAGGTGGATGCAGAAAAACCTCCCAACCAAGGACCCGCAGCTTTTGGCGGGTCACTATCGATGTGAGTGGTCATGCGTTGTCCTCATAGAACATAATTCCTCTCCTATTGACCAAAGCTGGTCGCTTCTGGGTTTCTTTCTTTAGACAGTTTAATTTTTAATAGTAGAGGTCCGATTCGACCACGACCGTTGCAGTAAGTGACATACTTTTTATTACCAATAACGTCCCTTTTAAGAATTGGATCGATTTTGTGTTCATTAAGCAACGATTTGCAGATGGAAATTCGTCCATGAAGTTTTTGCAGTTTGATTGTTTCTTGACCTTTTTCACCTTCCTCCGTACCCCTTTTTTACTAGTTATCTAAAGTAGTTTTGGTGTTCCCATCTAAATTATTATTATTAACTTATTGAGTAAAACGAAATGCCTTTTAAGCCCAGTGTTGATAGCTCTGCACCTCCCTGTGTCACCCCTCCAGATCTCTACTGTATTATAACAACCTATAATAATATTTACCCAACCCAATTTCATATACACACATGTAAGTATGTATGTATGTATATGTGTATGTACATAGGCAAATCTAGTTAAAGTCACTGATGAATGAAATAAATAGCCTCACTCTTTTGTTTACACACTTTATGCCAATACACACACACATTTCTACTTATTGCCGGCAATACTGTCGCTGTGGTCCACAAAGCACAATATCATATTACTTCTTTGTTTTACCATAAACAAAAACACGCAAAGAATGCTCACACACACATAGATGTCCATACATATATACACATATGCTTATTCATTGCTCTTATTGCCACTTTGGAGTGTAGCAAATTAAATTAATTTGTCATTTCAATGTAGGCCTACAAAGAGAGGTCACACATGCGCGCGCACATACACACACATACTTTTGTCTTTTGTGTATGTTTACATATGTATATATGTCGTTTGCTGTTTCATCATTTGTCTTAGGCGCACATGTGAGCAAGTCAAAGCCTTTTAAAAACACAAAAGGGAGTAGATATAATAAAATACTCAATACTCATGTATGTATGTGGCTGTGTGAGTTACTGTAGGCGCCTTTTTAGCGGTATTGTCCTGTCTTAGCAACAAATTCTGTTAATGCTTTATCTTCGCTTTCCGTTTTCATTGACACAACGATAGCATGACTGACGGAATGAGTAGCTTTCCCTGTATGTGTGTGACTCTTTGTGTGCGTTTGTGTTGGTGACTCCTTGGACGACGCCTGTTTTACTGGATACTACAAATGACTATGCATAAATCACGCTTAGTTTTGGAGTACAAAAGCATGCAGAACTAGTTTTTTTTTTTGGATTTATATATTATACATACACACATACATACATATATAACATATATACATACGAGTATAAATATATTGGTGTGACTGCCGCTTGTATTGTTCCAATTACTTGCTTTGTCTGCGTTTTTATCAAACCACAAAAGCAGGATACCTTTTGAACATGGCTAAGTATGCTCACATACATACATATATATACATGTGTACATATGGATATACAATCTATTTCTAAGCTTTATTAACCAAAGCATTGTATTTGCTTATTTGTCTTCTCTATATACATATGTACATATATGTAAACATTAGGGTGGGTGAAAAGTCATAATAATTTTTTATTAGCGAGCATTTACATTAAAAAAAATTAAAATTGAATTAACATTTATATTATTAATTTTTGTTATACCGAAAATATTAATTAAAGATTTTTTTAACTTTTAATTCCATATTCCTGATTGAAAAAAATAATCATAATTAAATTTAAAAAAAACAAGATTAAAAAAACAATAAAATTTTTAGATCTTAATTTTTATTGAGTTTGTGCACTTTGCGTTCTACGATTTTAAACTAGAGTTCGCACAGAGCAGATATCATCTTCAATACTCTAGAGCACAGGTCGCCAAACTTACACATTTAAGCGATTAATATTTTATCAATTTTTAATTTGAAAACAGAATTAAGACCATTTTTGTGAGAATTCAAATTTCGGCAATTATGAGGGACGAGATATTTTTTTTCAAATAGTAGACACTGAGGTATGAATTTATCTTTCCAATAATAAGAAACAAATAGGAAAATGAAAACATAGTAATATTAAGAGCTCACACTTGGAAAGAATTTTTGAGGTGTCTACCAATCAATTTTTCAGTGTAAAAAAACGATTTTTTGTTTAACCCACCCTAATGATTATATGTAAATATGTACATACATATGTATTTATGTCGGCGCCCTTGCTCCTTCATATTCACTAGCTATATGACTGCCATTAGCATTAGATTCGTGTAAGTGATAATAAGTGAATATGAGCGCATATAAATCAGTATTCAATTTGTTGTTGTTTTGTGCGCCAAATATCCTCGAGATGTCAATTATTAAAGCGAACGACGTGAATTTATATTGAATATCAACGTAAAATTATCATAAATTCAAAGCAAATTGGAAGTGTTAGTAGTAAATGAAAGTCAAATAAACTAAAAATGCAAAAAAAAATTTTGAAAGCTACAAATATATTTATACATAAGTAAACAGATTCAGCTGATAGAAAAGCACACTCAAAAAACATACCTCGCCGTGTTGTATTCGTCGTATTTCAATTTTGCATGGGAAACAACAACAGTGTTGATATGACAGTCATAAAAAAATAAGACAATAAGACGATATGACACAATGTGACACCTTGTAAATACCCTAATTAACATTTTGAATGAGTTATTTCAAATATTTTTTAAATTACAACCTTCTAAAGTGTGGCCGCCCAGTTATTAGAAAATACCCTTTGCTATCTTTTAACGCGTTTTTTTTTTTTTTGTTTCAAAACTACATTTTTAAAATTTGCTGCATTTGTAACTGAAAGGCAAATCATTCGATTGTTTTTATTAGTATTTTTTTTTGTATCGCTTCTCTGTATAATTATTTGATAAGTCGACTGTTGGTCTCTGAGAATCTACAGAAATTCAAGGTTTTGTCCTAAAAAAATTATCCAACGTTAACAAAATTTTTTACTTTCAAAAATGCTCCAAATAAAATAGAACTACAACTTTCATAAACAAATATTCCAATATAAAATGTTGTGCTCTACAAAATAATTTTTTATGTCTCTTCTTTTTTTCCATAAAAATCTTCTTGTAAAAGTTATAAGCATTTACAGTAATATACACGCTGTCTCCTGAAATAACCGAACTTTTTGGATATTTCTCTTTGAAAGTTATTGTTTATTCAAAATAGGTTCTACTAGCTCTTAGCAAGGTTCACATGGCCGCAATGATAGGTGTCCTCACTGAACGATGAGACTAGAGATTTTGTAGGACGCAACTTGTTAAAGTTGCAGGGAGAAATATGAGGTGGAAACATCTAGAAATTTCTCGTACACTGTCCAATTTTCGCCAGACTAAGGTTGCAGCATCTTCGTTGCTATACTTCATACGAACCCGGCGAATTGACTGGAGTAGATATTAGCCGGATCCATAAATTTGTGGCTGGCGCTTTCTAAATATACGACGGTCTTTTTGAACCGTACTTAAGAGTTTTGAACAACACAACGACAAACGTCTCTAGCAGCCCAAGTGGGATTATTTATAGTCTCACGAAAATCAACATATTAACCTAACCTAATGCTATACCAAAAAAAATATGCCAAACATTTGCCGAACTAAATATCCATATACAAATTAATTTTTAAAATTTTTCATTTCCTATTTCCATTTTTCCCTAACCTCAAATATTTAAATATGTACATATAATATAATGTTCAGTTCCACTTCGGTTATTGAAAAACATGGAAATTTGCATCGTTCACAAATTATTGCTGCCATTTAGAGAATTCCAAGTCCACAATTGCTGAACCACCAGCTGTCTCTTTATGCCGCTCACACACACACACAAAGTGCGACAATGACGCTCTTCAATTTTTTAAATTGTTTGCTTATTTGTGGCAACGTCTTCAGCTTCTTTAGTATGTTTATTCTTCCGTCCGTCTGTCTGCGTGTCCATTATGTCGCGCAACATTTACAATCTATTATGTTATTTATTCGCCTGCTGACTATTCATTTCATTATCTACCAGTAATATATTTATATAGGTACATATATAACTGTATATATGTACATATATATATATATGTATATATATATAAATGGGAATGTATTTCTTTTTCATTTATTTACTTACATTCGTTGTTCCCTCTTCAATTACAGATGAAAATCCGGCGGCCATGCAAAAAAGCAGCGCCAGTTCGATGCGTATAACAACAACAACAAGAATAAGCTTGGCAGCGCGGCTGCCGTTGCTTTTACTAGCAGCAATAACAACAATAATAATAGAAACACTAATGACAAGGGCGAATGTAATAACGCGAACAACAAATGCAACAATGGCAATAATATCAACAATAACAACAACAACGTTGCTGATAACCTACTTAACTGGAGTCTATATGCCGCAGCCACAACAACAGTTCACGAGGCAGGAAACGCAGAAATTAAATTGGCTACGCCAACAATAGCAAAACCAGCAACAACAGCAACAAAAGCTATAGCGATTGTGTTAGCAGCAGTGGCAGCAGGCATAGCAATACCAGCAACAAATACTCTGCAAATTCTTTGGGTATTCTTCGTAATGTCTTGAGCAGTGCCCGTTTGTGATAGTTGTTATTGTTGTTGGTTTTGTTTTTGTTGTTCGACTTTTGTTTGCTTTGGCGTTTAAGTTTCTTATTGCATTATTCTAATGGCGCACTCATCTAACTAAAAGTATATGGGAGCTGACACGCGTACACAAACACACGCACCGTCTTTTCACACACACATACACATACAGCGAAGCATTCAAACACACACATACACCAACATTTTGTACCAACTGCACAACTGCTGAAGGTTATGTTGTTATTGTTTTTTCGTGAGCTGCTGGCGACACTGTCAGTCCAGTGCTGCAACAATAACAACTACAATAATATTATTATTGCGACTGTCAGGTGGCAGGAACTTCTTGATGCTTTCGGCTAATATGCGCTTGTCGGTAGCAGCTGGCAACAATCTCATCAAAAGCAGAACCAACAGCACCACCAGCATTGTGGCAGCAACAACAAGCAGCAGAAGCAGCTTGGCATAGTCTGGATTGCCGATTGCAGGCTCATCCACCGCTTGCTCTTAGACTTCCACTTGTCCCTCTTCTTCACCTACTCCGCTGAGGTATTGCCATCCATCGGTCGGTCCAATAGCTTAATGGTAATGCCAGCACATGAACTTTGCCACAGCAGCAACTTCGCAGTCCGTCACAGGGACACTACTTGCCTTATCTCTGCGGCATTTCAACGGTAAAGCAGCGTCGGCGCATGCAGAAGACGCGTAACAAGCTGACGTCTGTGAAAATATCATTGAAGACGACTAAAGACTACCTACCCACAGACTCACTTATACACACATACATACATATACATATATACCCAAAACATCATACAGAAGAATCCTTGATTCTACCATGGCTCCTCTGAACACTGGTTGCTCGGAATGCTGATTGCCCATCGCCTCGGAGCTGAGGTAAGTGTTTGCGGTGTGGTGGCGGTGCATAAGTAAATCTAAATACGAAAGGAAGAAGAAACAAAGCAAAAACAGCAAAATAAATAGGATCAAATATAGTAAATAAATATAGACGAGATACACGTGCTGTAGGCCTAACTTATGTTGGAAAGGGGTGCAAGTGTAGGCAGCCAAAATGGCAAACCGCTTAAATATTAGCATTTCATTTTGCTGAAAGGCCATTGAAGCAAGTGAAAAGAAGAAGATATGAAGATTTCATATAATATTGTATTTGAGGCATAGTGTTGCCAATCATTGTAAAAATCGGGCCCACTATTTTAAGCTTAGATTCGGCCAATGGGTGTTCCATTTCTTTGAGTTCTACTCATAGCCAAGATCCAAGTCTATATCAACCTTCCTGCATAGTGGTTTGACCCATCTTAGTTAGATTAGTACCATCCATCAAAATATAGCTGTCCCTTTCTGTCACTCTTCTCTAGCTTCAGCTAATCTATGTATTTTAAAAGTTTTTCTACGGTTCTATTTAAAATATAACGTAATTTTGAAAGCTACTTTTAAGAGTCTGTATTAGGTCTCGGAAGACATACTAAGCTTATTCATATTTTTATTTTAGAACCTTCATTCTTGTTTGAAGACATAAAGTGAGAGAAATTAAAAATGGCTCGGTTGTAACGAAATATGTAGCGCACTCAAATTTCGTCACAGAGATGGAGCTCCACCATAGTAATAAAAACTATTCCAACTTGAGGGACTGTTTTTTGTTTTTTTTTGTTGACGGTAAAAACCTTTTATCATCTTCGAGGATTTGATGATGACTTATTCTCAATTTCCTAAATTTTCGGTGGATGTGTGTGTTTCGTATATGAAGAACGTTTTGGTTACAATTTAAAAAAAAAGACTTTTCTGCTCAACACAATAAGGGTGTATAAATCAGAATCCCCACATTTCTGACTTTCTCTTATGTCTGTGAACAAAGCATACCATTTCTGATAGCGTTTTCTTTTCTCGATGAAAATGTTGACACATGTGACGTCATTATATAAATGCAACAATTTTGTGAGAAAAGAAAACGCTGTTAATCTTTACCTTTCTTTCTTCTCACCTTGTACACCCCATATGTCTTTTAATTTGTCTAAAAAGAAGAATCTTCCACCTGAACATTTCCTAACGTCACTGTAAAATATATTAAATAAAATACACGACGTAAAAATTCAGATTATAATGTTGAAAGACAACACTCGCGACTCAGAGAGGGTAAGACGGTAGCACAAGTTGGTCCACGCGTATTTACATACTTGAGAAATGTGACCTTCAAAAATATTGTATGTATGCAGTCAATCACAATAAGCATAAATTTGATTGATAAATGCCGAGTCGAAATGCAATGCTTTCAGCTGTTGATAAATAAGGTAGGCGATCGGTAAATATGTAATCAATGGCTAACAAAAGCGGAAGCAAAAGAAAATGAAGACACAATTTGTATGTAATCAAATGGAAAAAGAAAAAGGAGCAATCAGTAGGAAAAGCAACAATGAGAGCACATGACATCGCAATTATTCTGATTGTTATGGAAGGTATCTACAATAATTTGTTTAATAATATATATTTTTCGGGCAGAATATTTTTATCCTTAAAATAGTATCCATTTATTCATAGCTCGAAATATAATATTTAGTTTATCAAAGACCCTAGTACAGCTTTTATTAGAACAATTATCCACACATTTATCACAAGTCCCAACTCGAGCTGCTTTTTAGGGCAAAGGTGCCACACTTTCTCTACGTTAATCACTTTTTCATATAACATTAAAAGTAAAGATTTACGGACTCCTAACTTGCATCACATCAATATATAGGACTGTAATTCTGTAAGCTTCAAAAATTTTCAAATTCTCGTTACGCTTCTTCGTCAAATCTCGACTAGAGGGGCTTCATAAAAATACCAATGTTATATATAAAATATGTAATTTTATAATTACATACATAATAGTTATTCAGATTTATTCAGCAGGTTAAAAATTTGTTTCTTCCATAATTTAAGCATGTTTGCTAGCAGATACTAGCATTTAAGAAACAAACATAGAGTTTTACTGAAATGACCGTAATGTGGTTGTATCTAATATTTTTCATATTTCATAAGTTCTGCAGCCATTAACCCTGCTTCACACATCTAAATTGAAACTAGACATTAGACACATAATAACTTTTATAAAATGTTTAAAATTAAATTTTTTTTCAACTAAATAACTTTTTTTTTAAATTTTTTTTTTTGATTTTTTTTTTTTACATTTATATTTACTTCTCATTTTTATTTAGATTGCCGTAGGGCGTTAAGATTACTATTAGTATAATAGTATATAGGTATAGTTAATTAGATTTAAAAAAAAGTAGTTGAAAGTTGTATATAATAAAATCTAAAAAGGCTACAACAACCACTATATGTTAAGAATATACAAACGAAATTCAAATGCATATGCACATACATACATATTTATATATGCATATGTATGTATGTATCTCACTCTGTGTATACATTTTTTATATACTATGTAAGTAAAAACAAGATTATCGCATCATTCGTTATTTTTAATTTTTTTATTAAATTTTTTTTTTCACACTTTTTATTAAATTTTTTTACCGTAAATTAAATTTTTGTATGTGTTATTAATTTTTTTTAAAGATATAAAGTTTCTTTAAAATATTTTTTTATAAAAAGCTTTATATTTGGCTATTTCATTGAAATCAAAAAAAAAAAAAAACAAAGTAAAGTAACGTAAAATAAGCGGTGAAACTTTACGTAAGAAATTCCGCAATGTTAAAGCATAGACTTTATATATCAACATGCATTCAAAGATAAAAATAATAAAAATAAAAACTAGAAAAGCACCCGCTGCCAAGCTGCCGAGTGAAAAATGTAATCTTAAAAACAAAAACCTAAAACCACAACAAAAGCATATTTGTATAAGTAACAATAGGCAAACAACTATATGCTTAATACATTAAACTGCATAGCATAGTATATAAGCATGAATACATAGTATATATAAGTAAATAAACACATATATGCTACGATATATGTACAAAGTGGATTGGTTGATAGTTAATAATGTGCTTATATAACGCATACCAAAAAAGCAAATAAGGAATACAGTTATGTACATATATACAAACATAAGTAAAATTACATACTTTTAGGCGCTGAAGCCGCAGCAAGCAAGCAACAAATGCAACACTGGCATTAAGTGCGAAGCAAAAACTGAATTGAAACCAAACGAATGCGTGCAATCCAAACGAAATAAAAGTAGAATAAATTAAATAAATGCAATTAAAAGGTAATAAAAAGTAAAAAATTAATTGAAATAAAGGGAAATAAATTAAAATACAAAGAATTATCAAATTGTTCTCAATGCGTGTAAGAAATCGAATCAATTAATGCAATGAATGTGTGGAGAATTCAATGAATGCTAGAGTTAAACCGCGTTAGCGCAAAATCGTGTAATGGTATAACGGTACATTATGCAATCGAACGAGTTAAATGCAATTGCATATAATTGGAATGTGCGTTTGCGGTCAAATGCAGGCGAGATCAAACGCACACATACTAATATAATATAAACATAAGTACCAATACACACACACATATACACATAACACATACTACATTACCACAAAGTAGCAACAAACAAAAAAATGTTAACTTCGGCGGCGCCGAAGCTATAATACCCTTCACAGCGCACTTCTTTTAGCATAAAAGGGTATAAAAATATCTTTATCTTGGTTGTGATCGTTCGATTTGTATGGCAGCTATATGCTATAATGGTCCAATCTGAACAATTTCTTCGGAGATTGTAGCGTTGCCTTGGACAATAACCCGTTCAAAATTTCGTAAAGATATCTTGTCAAATAAAAAAAATTTTCATAAAAGAACTTGATTTGAATCGAACAGTTTGTATGGCAGCTATCTACATGCTATAGTGGTCTGATATTGGTGGTTTCGACAAATAAGCAGTTTCTTGGTGAGTAAAGAACCTTTGCAAATATACTTTAGAGATTCACTGACAATTCCTGCTGAATGTTACAAACTTCGTGGCAGACTTAATATAGCTTATGTTGGGTATAAAAATTAAGTTTGTAGCAAAATAGGTGTATGTGTATGTTGTGTGTGTGTGGTTGTGTAGCAAGCATAAAACGCTGGGTAAATATGCGCTCTACACTTGTGTGTTTTTGCTAAATTGCAAATTAATTTCCGTTATCAGCATGCTCATCCAGTTTTTGCCTGCAACTTTGCCCTCCAACATGTTTTTGTTTTTTGTTTTGTTTTTTTTTGCATTTGCCCCAAAGCAGCTAACGAAATTAATTGAAAAATTGCATTCATACCTTTTATACTGCATTTAACGGTAAAGCGTAAATTAAATTTTTCCGTTATTTCTTAAATAATGCGTGGAAAAAGCTTATACCTTCTTATCTCTTCTCATTTTGTCGTTTGTATTTTTGAAAATTTGGACCATCTAACGGTTCTATTTAACACCTTACTATAATTGAGTTGTTATTATAAATATATAGACATACATTCTATATATATATATATAAAAATCATCCGAAAGCGGCCAAAGAAATAAATTTGGTTCAGGAGTCACTGAAAAGGAAAATGCGTGATTCCATTCATTTTAAAGTAGGCGTGGTCTGCCCTCCAAATTGTTTTATTTTTTTAAGTTATCGGCAGCCATTGAATTATTTCGAAAACAATTTCGTAAAAACATTGCATTTAACTAACGAATGCTTCTCATATGAATATATTTATTTACTTTAAATATACGGCATAAAAAATTAGCAATATTTCTTGCTATAATATTTTCTAAGTTACCTTTTTATTTATTTTCTAAGCTTTACTTTATATGTTTCATATTTAATTTTTTTTCATAAGCTTACTGGCAACACTGGCAACTTTTATATAAATATATTGGTCCTTTGTCTTTTTTAAACGCTACTTTAAATTTATTTTGAGCATTTTTCTCTGTTTAAATGTCTCTGAAGTTTTCATTTCAGTTAGTGCGAAGGTTTTCAAAGTACACCTATTGTGTTGAAGTGGATTCTTGCTGGAATTGAAGTAAGAGAGCTAAAGAATTGCAAGCTTTTTGAAGAACGTGATCCAGTGTAATAATTAGCCATGCCTCTAGTTTCCTCAACGTGAAAGAAATTCTGAACGATTCGGCCGAAAAGTGATACGTTCGATAATCATCTAGCAATACTACCAATCTGCTGAAAGTGGTTAGAGCAATAAAATTAGTGTTGGTGGCGATTATATATTGATTATCTTTAAATAATTATATTGATTACTTTTAAATAAATATGAAATCTGAAAAATAAATGTTTTATTTTATAAAAAATACCTCGCAACCATTTATTACAAGGTTATGAGAATATTAAATAGACTATCGATAAATGTCAAGAAATATGTTATAAACTGGTGAGTAATATTCGCCAAAATGTCAATAATTATCCTATCGTTTAATTTCTTTTTTTGTTTTTTTTTGTTGTAAATATATTTAAATGCTTTCTTCTATTTCTATACATACAATATTTTTATTACCGATAGTCAATTCCGAAATTCGAAAACTAAAATAATAAAATTTTGTTGCCTTTGATGCACCCTGTAGTCATTTCATAGAATTCTTGTCGCCAAAGTGACCAAATTGCCACCTAAGTACCAGGCGAACATAAACTGCAGTAGATAAAGGCGCTAATTATGTTAAACGAGCACTGCAATTAACATAGCTCCGTACTGTTAAGTAACATAGCTCCGTACTGTTAAGTAACATAACAGCAGTGATTAATTGACTGAGGGTCTCGCTAATGTTTGCATATTGTGCATTGTTGTAACCTACGCTGATTCTATGTGCGCCTAGTCATTCGGCACGCTAACATACATTTCGTTCAGCCGACGCACCCAAACTAGCATATAGAGACAATTCATTTATGATCCATACCAGGCGCGCATAATATATAAGAAAGCGGCATGAAAAAGAAAATAAATATGCAATTTATTGTTGTTACAAGGTAAGCAATGCGAGTACAGTTAGTTTTAGTAAGAATTGAGAAATGTTACTTTATTGCTGTGCTGCATATATGTATATATGTCGCCAATGTTAAGACTACTGTTGTTAGTTTTGCTAAAATGGTTGATCCTTGTTCATTCTGTAAATTGCGTATGCTATTTTTATGTTCGCCTGGGAGTTAAAAATCCAATTGGTACAATTGTTTGTGATTTTCTGCTTCTTCTTCTTTCTTCATGATATTCAAATCTGAGATTTATTATTGTGATAGGCGAGCATATAATAAGAGTCGGTCGATTGGATATTTTTTTGAAATACAATTTTTTAGTTTTGCACTGTCTATTATCAGACGATCTTTATGATTTACAGATGCGACGCGACTCCTCGTCATTCTCTTCTTTCATCTCATTTTCCTCTTCACGCAATTGCTGCTACTTCTTCATTTTGTTTTTAAGATTCAAATATATTTAATTTTTTTGTTTTGGGTTTTTTTTTTAATAATAGACCTGAAAAATTTGTAATAAAGAGAATAGAATTAATTATCATGTGAATTCACAAAATAAACAAAGAACAACAACTTTAGCAAAACTAACAACACTAGTGTTGACATTTTTGACATATCTACACAGAAAAATAAAATTACGTCTCTAAATACTTAGTAAAACTAACTTCTCTCGAACTCCTTACCTTGTGACAACAATAAATGGCATTTTTATTTTCGCTTTTGCCGTCTCTTACTTATATAGTATAATTACCGTAGGTTATAACAATGCACAAAATACAGACAGTAGTGATGCCCTCAGGGAATTAACCACGGCTGTTATGTTACTTAACAGCACGGAACTATATACAGAAAATGTTAATGAATAATAATAACATTAACATTCTCTGGCAGTTCACTACTACTATTTATGTTCGCCTGGTACAGTGCTCATACGACAGAGAACAACTCGATACATATGTAAAGAAGAAGACTTGGACTTCCTTAATGCATATTCTGTATGTCAAAAATATCTCTATCTTAAACTGTAGAGATGCAGAGGAAGCACAATCATCAATTGAGTCCGTTCCCACGACAGTCGGGTCTATGTTACCAGAAGGGACCCGAATTTTTATCCTGTCAAGGACTGTCAACTCGGCAGAATTCTGCCGTGACAACAACCACATTAATTGAACTCTACTTCGAATACTGCCTTAAAAAATAAACATTTCTTGCAAATCTTATTGGGTAAAAAACAATTGGTTGCTAACGATCTCAGTGTTGGTAGAAGCTCAGAGAATGGACTCAGACATACCAGGTATCGGCATATATAATATAATATATATACTCGTGTACCTATGTGTAAGCGTATCAAGTTTCAATGGCGGAAAGAGCTCAACTCTCCGACTACTTCGTTTGTGGAAGATAAACACCGTTCCCACAATCAAGTCATCACAGCTCAAATGTACTAAAGTAACAACAATGCGGTGTCAAAGGAAAAGTTAAGCGAAAAATGGTTAAATCAAACGCGCACTTAATTCGAACGTTGTTGTTGTGAGCAACCTCAAAGAGCTGAAACGGCGAGCGATAAATTGGAAACTAGGAAAGCGAAGCATTGAATTGCAAGCATACGTTTCAACAGGAAAACTTTTACTAACACATATACTCCTATATACATACATATGTACTCGACGGGGTCAAAACGCACACAAAAGCACTGCAACGCAGCCACGTGGGCGACAGCACTTGATAATTAAAATTGTGATGAACTAACGCTTCGCATTCCCAACAGCAAACACCGCTAACAATCTGACACATAACGGTATATTTTCAGCAGGTGATGTCACGACAATCACGAATCCATCAGTGACAAATTAACAAGCATGCAACAGCCGGAAGCGCAGGCCAGAGAGGAGAACACGCTTGTAACCACCACGGCGGCATGATGAAAGCGTCGAAGCGTTGAGGCGTGAAGTCAAAAGTAGCTAAGCGCATAAAAACGCATTAGCGTAGCATACTTTTGAGCGCGGGCATGCATTGGCGGTTGTGAAATTAGCTATGTGCTCGCAAGCGCGCGGAGTGCATATGCCCCGCAAGGATAAAGCAGTCAACGAAGCACACATATGTACATACTCGCAGTTTGGGAACTCGGCTTTGTGGTCTAACGTTCACCGCACAAGGGCGACACTGTCAATTGTGGCACCCATCTAGCGTTGGTAATGATGAGCATACGAGCGCGCTTACACAGGCACCTCTATGTTATGGCAGCGCCAAAGGCACAAAACACAAGCTCTGATGCTAAAGTAGGTCACAGACGAGTTTTCCAGTGGGGCTGAAGTTACATGAAAGCTGACAGTTTGATTTGAAGTGTTTGTCTGTGTGAAAGCGTTTTTTCTATTGACACAAGCAGTGCTGTACATTTCTGTGTGTGATTGCGAACTAGCCGAATTCGATCTTACGAAAATTACAAAAGACTGCCTCTTTTTCTTCTTTATTTTTGTTATTTCCCAAAGAATTGCAGCAGTTCTTGATCGCTTGCAACTTGCTTAGAATTGACTACGTTGAACCCTCTGAACAGCGATAGTAGTGTAGTAACTAGTAACACCACAACAAACCCCTTGTTCTAATCTGGTTTGTGCCCTATAGCTAGAAAGACCAAACCGTAGGACGATCAGGTCAGATGATGTCTTTTTAAGTTCGTAAGTTCCAGCAGATCTCAAAACAACTGAACAATCAGTTAGAGGTATTCGAGATCAATGTAAGAATATTTCTGTCACATAATTTTCGTACTACTTTTGATGTTCCACAGTCAAAAAATGACTGTTCCCCGACTCGGTTCTACCTAAACAAAACGGACACGTATCTTCATCCGGCTAGTTTCAAAATCTGTTCAGCGTTCTCTTTTTGGACTATTTGAAGTAAAATTGATATTTTATGAATTAGTTTCACTTTTTCAATAAGTTGGCAACACTGCTAAACATGAGTTTTATTTTTTAGACACGTAGCATAAATTAATAATTGAGGTAAACGTCTGAAGGTAGGCAAAAAAAGTATAGGTCCTCAAGAGCACAATAGGAGAACTTCAAACATTTTCTACGGGAAAAGTATGCTCGAAGGATTTTATTCACCATTGGACAAATATCTTTCTCCTCGAGAGAGAAACTTAAGTGCTAGACCGATTAGGATCAATAACTACGTTTCATCTTTTGTATAAATCGACTCTGTAACAAAACATTTTCTGTCTTACATCTATCCCCATATAGATACAAACTAATGTTTATAAATCCCTATATTTATATTATTTGTTAAGCATTTATCTAATATACCGTATGTAAATATGTATACATCAATAAAAAATACTAATAAATAAATATGCCAATACATACCCATGTGTGTTTAATTAATAAATTTGTGATCGTTCCCACTAAAGCGTTTGAATGGAGTGGATTCGATGCTCAAAGGAATGTTTTTAGAAGTGTTATATAAGAACCAGCTGTGCTGACAATCTAAAAATTAATAGAAATAGAAAATCATATAGATAATTAACAGAATTACAATTACAATAAACTTGTAAAATTGTTTTTGATTATTTTCAATTACCCACCGAACGAAAAGCTGGCAGCGATGGCGTAAAAAATGGCACCTGAATAGTTTTCGCCTTCTGTGCGCGGCAAATCATCATCAACAACATGCGACGCGTGCGCACATCGCACTTATACCAATCGGTGTCATATATGACCTCAGCAACTTTTAGGCTCTGAAAAAAATTTGGAAATATGGTATAAGCGTATTTTCAGTCTTACTACTGGCAAGTCAATGCTTACGCTCTCGCTGACATAAGTGCCGCCGATGCAATAAAGAATCAGTTGAGTTAAAGCGGCGATGCTGTAGCATATGTACGTCAAAACGCCTATAGAAGAGGAGTTCTGGATCGGAAAACATGTACCAAGGAAAGAAATATTTTTCATTTAACGTATCTACATTTCAAAATTAGTCTTAATCGCGGTTCTTTAATTAAACAATAATGGTAATTGTAATTGTAAGGGAAATAGTGATTCCAGTAGAGGTAATGATAAAAGTAATTGAAACCGTTACAATAATTTTAGTAATAACTTTGATAATAATGAGTAATTTTTATCATAATTATGGCATTTGTTATATAATTTAAATATACTGGTAATGGTAATTATGCGTAATGTATTGGTTTGACTAATTTAATTATTAATTTACATTAATGGAAAGAAATTTTAGAAATGAAAATACGAATACTAATAATGTTAATGTTAATGTTAATGATAATAATTTTTAATAATAATGGCAATGATTGTATAATTGAAATGTACTGATAAGGTTAATTTAGAATTATGTAAAGGATGTTCCAAAAACATGAAATTAGGCGGTCACCAAACGTGTCTTTCAATAAATAATCATGTGGCACGAGCTGTGTGACATGTTGCGCCATCTTGTTGAAACCACAGCTCCTGGACATCATGGTTGTTCAATTCAGGAATGAAAAAGTTAGTATTCATGGCTCTATTACGAGCACCATTGACTGTAACGTTCTGGCCATCATCGTGTTTGAAGAAGTTCGGAGCAATGATTCCACCAGCCCATAAAGCGCACCAAACAGTCAGTCTTTCTGGATGTAATAGTGTTTCGACATACACTTGAGGATTAGCTTCACTCCAAATGCGGTAGTTTAGTTTGTTGACGGAGCCATTCAACCTGAACTGCGCTTCATCGCTAAAAAAAATTGTCGACGATAAAATGAACGTAGTGCGCGATACGTATTCCGCACAGAACCATTATTTTCGAAATAAAATTGCACTATTTGCAAGCGTTGTTCAGGCGTGAGTTGAACGTTTAAAAATTTCTTGAGATATCTTATAACAACAGATATGACAACTTCACTCTGTTTTAGGAAATATTTTCTTGTTCTATGACCTGTCGAAATACGAAAGAACGGAAGTTTAATGAATCTCTTTGTCAATTTCTTCAACCTCAAAGGATAATATCTTTTTTCACTAAAGCACCCCACTACCCGCATATGTGTCTATGAGTTAGTGAAAAATGCAGCAACATTCAAAATAATTATTGAATATTGGCGTAGTAATAAAAGTTACACAAAAGAAAGTTACTTTCTTGATAATAAAAGTTATGACGCTGCTTCAAGAACAACGCACCAATGCAACAACATAATTCACAACACTTCAAAAGCACGTCAACAAGCAAGTGGCTGCCGCACATGCCAACTCACCAACATCAAATCCAAAATGCTGAAGCACAACACCAGCGATGCCGAAAGGAAATGCATCAAGATGATGAGTGAAAATTCCGAAGCGAAATCGCTGCATAGATCGATGATTTTGTTGTGGCGCTCAACGAGCACCGCCAATCGATGCTGTATCCGCATATTTTGCGCCAACGTTGAGTGCTCCACTAGCAGCAGCATCAGCAACAAGAGCACGACCGAGGATGCAACGCGGATATGTAAGTAATAAAGGCAAAAGTTATAAGTGAGATGTGGGAGGAGAGGTTAAGAGGGGGGGAGCGCAGTGAGGTGTGTGGTGGCAGGGCAGTTTGTAAAAATTTTGTAAATTCAATCAATCACTATTTGGCGTTGACTTAGATGAGTGTGAGTCCAGTTAGTAAATTGTAGCACGCTTTGGCCAACATATGGTGTGCCGGTGTTTGAGTGTATATGTGGGTGTGTACGGGAATATGTGACTTAGAGATTGTGTACGTGCAAAGCATACCTCACAGATATACTTGTATATAAATTTTTTCTGTAAGTATCTTAGGGTGGTCCGTATGAAAATGATCACAAAAAAAAACGAAAAATATCAAACATTTTTGCTTCTCTTTTTCATAGAACATGAAAATATGAGTTAAGAACACTTCTGCATATGACAATGGAAGCTATCCACATTCCATAAAAAAACACGTCCGGCCACTGCGCTTGAAAGAAATTGAAATGGATATATTATAAGACCCGTCTCTCGCGGTAACCTTGACTTACATCGCAGCTTAGTGTCGTGATCTTAATGGAACTCAACAAGGGAGAAAAGAAGCGTGTAGCGGATGCAGAGTTAACCGAAATAGTTCAAGCAATTTTTATAAAATAACATCAGCATACGCTAGAGCTCATAAATTTATGTTCTTGATTCGACTATTTTAACTGGGTCGTCTCTTCGCGAACTCCGCAGGTTTAACATTTTGTTTAAAGTACAGGGAACTTGAATGCTAAAATATTTTGGTACAGCCGAATGAAGTTAAGCTTTAGTAAATGGTTTCAGTTAGCGTTTACCTCTAGAATAGGCTAGCCAAGAGTTCATTTAGTCCAGGAGGTCAACACCTCAACATAGGTAACCAATAGACGACAATGTAGACGTGAGGCCTTAATCTGAGCAATTTAACATATCTTCCGTATCTTTCAGCAGGAAAAACTAGAACCTGGAAAACACTTTTAAACTGTACTTAGAGAAAACGACAAAATAGCAAAAGCCATCTCCTTAGGCAAACAAGCCTTACGTCGACAACAACCCGTTCAAAGCCGTTCCCATGACACTCGAATTGGTGATCTTCACATTTACTTTCAATTTGGTGATACGTTCGCTTTTCAGGTCGAGTCATTGAAAATCACAGCATTAGTAGTAAGTAAATCTAATCTGTTGAGAAGCCTACAGCTTTAGTCAAATTGCTAGGTTTTCAAGGATTCTTTTGGTACGTTCTGATGTAACGATATCTTCGGACGCAAAATTCGATAGCGCCAAAGTTTGGTACTAAGAAATGTGGTGAACGATATACCATTTAGATAATTTATTTGTACTAAAACTCAAAAAATATTGAACCACCCTAATGTGTTTGCGGCAAAATATGTGCACTGCGGCGGATAAGCAATATTATCTGTGTATGCATATGTGTATATGTATATGTATATGTGAGCATTTTTATTGCACCGTTTGTTACTCACGTTCTTGCAATTCAGCGAATGCGTTACGTATATCATGTTGCAACATGCGAAACAACGCACTCGTATACATACAGGCGCAGAGAAAGAAACCATCGACTGCGCTAAAAGTGAAAACCGTCATGGCGCCGGAGAGCGTCAGCACCAGGTATGTGGCTGGGTAAAATGGCCAATTGACGAACATTTCCGGCAAACTGCAAATACATATGTACATATTTGTGGCAAGAGTAAAAAGCAAAAAAAAAACACAAAACGGTATAGAAAAGACGCACAATCAAATAGCATGGAGCAAGCACAAATTTAGAGAATAGTTTGCATGTGTGTCGATGAGTGTGAGTAGTTGTGGGTGTGTTCGCAAATGTTCACTTATACGTATGTGTAAAAAACGCAACTTTATGAGAGATTTATTGCATTTGTTGTTGCAATAACAGCTGGTTGTCATAAGTGATGACTTTTCATTTTATAAATTACTGGAAGCAGATTGCGCACAAAATTATAACATACAAAGAAGAAATACTACAATAAATACAAAAATTTAGAAAAATGTTGCTTTTTCAATGTTGAGAAATTTTTTTTGGATATTGGAAGGATATTTCTGGATTAGACGTTAAAGCTTAAATGTTATATATTTTTTAAATCATCAGTAAACTAGGAATGCTGGACTAGAAAAATCTGACCTTAACGGCAAATTTAGTGTAGTGCAGGAACGAGGAACCTGCTAAAGACTTCTCTTTTTGGGCAGCGTTCTTTGGAAGTATGTATTTTTCTAAAAACTTGTGATTGCTGCATAAACAATATTCGAAGGTTCGTTATTGTCTACAGTTTTTATAAAATCAGAGATAATTCCGAACCCGCAATCACAACTATTGACTTAAACTTCTCGTAGTCAGCCCAATATTTTTATTGCAAGCAAATGTATTTATTTCCATTTATAAATTTCCACTTAAAAAAAATTAAAGCTAATATTATAGCTTTACAACTTTCCACACTACGCGGCCTGCCTTGAACTGCTTTCGGTCAAGGATAAGCCCTTAAGCTAAAAGAACTTTCACTTTTCTATATTCCTGCAGTTTTATAAGCCTGCAAATAACTTTCCAATTAAGATTTAATGCTCGGCTCGAGTTGCAACTGAAACGAAGTGCGACAAAAAAAGCTTCGAAAATAATGCATAAGTTCACTTACATAACATTGAAGGGCAATAACAGCTGCACTTCCAGCGACTGCCACTTGTAGTAGCCCATTTTCAGCAGCGGCAAAATGTTGAAAAATGTATTCGTTAGCGAACCAGATAGAAGCAATACAAAGGACAACGCGGAACTAAACGAGGCCAGTGGATCCACGATGCGGCGCTTTTCGGCGCTGATATCTATGGAAGTGCGAAGTAACAAATGTGGAATAGAAAAGTTACACAAAAACAACAATTGCTACGGCGGCACTACGCCAAAAATAGGGCACATATGCACACGATTTTAGAACAAAACAAGCAGGGTTCGGCGTGCATATGTAAAGGGTGGTTCATAATGTGACTTTTATCATTTCCGAAATTAAAAGAAACAAAAAACGATCGCTATTGGTATTTCTCAAATAAAAGTCGTACTACGTCAGCTCTGAGGTCACACCGAATCAGCGATCTTCGAACAAAAGTGAGCGACAGTGATATGACTCACTAGTTTACTGTAATGAAAAATCGTTGATCGACAGAAACATATGTCAAGGTTCTATCAGCCATAGCTGATAATGAGCTTAACTTAAACTATAGCGATCAGGCCCCGAAATTCCTCTTTGAATTTCGCCGTGGATTTCCATTTGGGAGTCGATTATTCCGGACTCAGTTACACACTCTTAGCTTGGGCAAAAACATTCGTACAACGTTGAGACCAAAAATGTGATTTTCTTAGCCGTCTCACGAACTTACTGCACAAATTGAAATGCAGCAGGCATAGTAATAGCACCATTTTAACAAATATTTTTTCTTATATTATAAAAGCACTACGCGTTAGCACTCGAGAACTTTGCAATGCTTTTTTAAGGTTTTTCAAACATAAAAACTAATAATTTGGCTCTGCGGTTTTTGATTAAAATTATTGTTTATTTATATCAAGATTCTCAGAGCCCGAAAAAATAAAATTATTAAAGAACACTTTATGAACCAGCCTTTACGCGTTAGGGCATTGTGGCCCGTAGCACTTACCTAGCAACAACAATTGGTGCATACTATTAATCACATGTTGCCAACGCTTGTGGCGCACAAAAAATATGGTCATCTTCAATAGTGAAATGACCTTGGTAATTCCCGGACAGAAAGCCTCGAGCGCGCTAAAAAGATCGTACAAGTAAACGAAACCGTAAGAAATCTCCCCGAAACCACCGACGGCAACGGCAAAGGTATTCACGCAGAAACGCAAAGCAGTTAGCCATGAACGATGCCGATTAGTTGATTGTGGCCAAAAACCAGCAATGTGAGCCGAAAAGCGCGGAATGCGAAAGAAGCTGCGTTCGATGGGTACCAGTGGACCCAATAGTCGGCGCATCTTATGACAGCTGGACAGCTAACAGCAGCGTACAAAGCAACAACGAAAAGTCTGTGTCAACTGCAATGTGGAGTTTTGACGTTCGAAATTCGTGGTCACGAATGTTGCTAATCGAAATGGCGCCATTTATTTTATAGCGGCACTTGAAATACTCGCGTCGTGCCGTAATTAGGTGAAGGCATGATTAGCTGATGTTACATGCATGGCTTACGCCTACAGACTATAATTACTACATCCATCTACATGAAATTTATATGACTATGCACAAGCGCGTGTGTTTGTGTGGCAAATAATCATAGTGCATGCCTGAAAGTTGTGCAACTTCTAATATAGTTCGCTAGCCGAATTTCAAATTCATAACAATGTTTTCATAAACATTAAAATATTTCATTCATAAGTCGTAATTTCCATTTAACGGCGAAACTTTTAATTATAAAAACTGAGAAAAAGTTCATAAAAATTCCTAGGGTTTGGAGCGGAAAGTTATATATATGTAATGGTGGTATGTGATGGCCACGAAGACTACGATTAGGCGAGCTTCTTAAAATTTCAAACAACGTGTGAGAAACCTGTAGAGCTACTACATACCAGGCTCACTAACTGATTAGACATTTTCATAGAAGATTTTATTGGAAAACATTTCCAATAAAGATATGGATTCCAGCAAAAAATACACTTATATCTATTATTGGCTGTTTTCGAACCAGCGAAACTTGAAGAGTGGCGAATCGAACACAACACTCATAGTCCAATAGAGTATAAGATCTAATAAAAAGAAATTCATTATTTTTCCATTAGATGGAAGAAAAGAAAAAAAATCTTGTATAAAGCTTCTCAAGCAGTTTTGGAATTTCTTGAACCAGTTTGGTTGCGATATTTTACAGTTTTTCTTTGAAATCGTAAACCAAGTGGCTAAATATATGAATAATGTTTACAGTCCAGATACTACTGAAGTCAATCATGCACAATTCTGGTTGGAGGCTGGTTACTTTTGATGAAAAGTGAGTGTGTAATTTACAACAATTTCAAGCGAAAACGGTTGTGGTTGAATCACGGTAAGCCGGCGTAAACGGTGGATAAGCAAGGATTTACGGTCTCTACAGTTTTACTATGTGCTTGGTAGTATTGGTAAGGAGTTGTCTATTAAGAGTAACTTAAGGTCTTTTTGTGAACTCTCGAGTGCGAGTTTAGGTGATAGGTTTACCAAAACCACACACCTTTTCCATTATTTATTACAACAACAATTCCAAATTGAATTGAAATTGTTAAACTATACGCATTGTTAATTATATTGTATATTTTTCTTAGAACTTCTACATTTTAATTATTGTTTTCACAAAATAATTGTCGACTTGTGTAATTTGTTCTTTGTTTGCCTATAAACTTATTAAATATTTAATTATTGTGTGTGCGTGTGGGCGGGTGTGTTTTTGCCTATACGCTTATGTCATAAATATGGTTAGCTTAATTAAATTTTCCTTTGTACTAAAGCAAAAACAAAGACCAGTGTGTGTAAAGTTTTCTCAAGCGCGCCCACTATTTGTATTTATTATTTAACTACCGAGGTTTGTCTGCAAAGTATGAAGTTAAGAAAGTACTCACATGTGGACGCCATTATATGTGAGTATATGATGAAAATATGACCACAAACGAATATATTTTCTTTTCAAACTAACAATTAGTTACATATAATAGTTACACTTTGAAAGCAAAGTTACTTTTAGTACTAGGTATGCCTCGAAAGTTTTCAGATTAATATTCGGAGAGTCCAGACCACCAAAGCAAAGCTATATTTATAATATGAGAAGAAGATAAAATCAACAAATATATTGTACCACTTGCTCGTTAGTAGAATAAATTTATCATTCTTCTATTAGAGCCGATGTCCAGCAGACAACCTCGGCATTTTCTTTGTCCTTAAAAAGTTCAAAGGAATATTATTGCGGCTTATTCCTTTGAATAGGCAATAAAAAGTGCAATAAAAAATAATATCTTGGAAACATCCAAATCTTGAGACTTTATATGAAATTTCTGAAAGACTCGGATTTTGGTATAAACTTTTCCTTCTTTCAGACATACATACATAAGTACCTAAGTTTAAGTTCCTCTATGCACACAGTTTAGCGATCAAACTACACATTCATTAGTTGTTTTGCTCCAAACAGATTTCTTGTTATAGAACTCGAGGTATAGCAGCAATATGACCATGAAAAGAAGGCTTTTGGAAAAATAAAAAAGATTTAGAAACTAGTTATTCTACAGCAGCATAATGATACAAAAGTACAACTATGGATAAGAATTGCTCAGTTAATTCGTTTAACTCTTTCAAAGACTGTTTAAAATAACGTAAGGCAGAACAACAACTCAGGTCTTGTAACACCACCTATAGGGCGTACCAGAAAATTTTTAAGGGTATAATATGGATACTATATCGTATGTACTAAAAGACTTCTACTTTCAGCAAAAATAGCAAAAAGTAATAATGCTTATGGTAAAGGTTAAATCATTTACACCGAAGCACTCAACACAAAAAACTAAGTGGAGTCAACCAGGTATCTCACTGACTTAGTCTATCTTTACAATGTTCTATGATGTACATATACAAAGGAGAGTTTACTGCAGTCGATTAAAAAATTATAGACCGTAAAACGTAGAAAAAATGCAGGAATATAGAGCACGATAAAAGCATGAAGAAAACTGGTGTCTAACTGGCAAAATAAGGAGAAATTGCACAAGGAGAAAGTGACACAAGTGATTTTCGATAATCAGATTATATTGAATTTAGGGTGGCGAGAGATGCCTGAATCACATAAAAGCGCCAAAATCTTTCAGAGCTCATGGAAGTGACATGGATGGAAGTAATCGAAGTAGACGCGATTTTATATGCGCTTTAAGACTGTCATTTATGGTATTTCGAAAAGTGTTTGAGCGTTCACTCGTTGTATTCAACAAGCATATATGCTACGGCCAATAGAACCCTCGTAATTCAATTTTTCCAGTGTAACGTATTATTAATTTGCATGCAATTAAAATTTTATGCGCACAAGATAAGTCGAAAAGAGATTAAACACAGTCACATTTAATTGGCTTATTGACTTAATATTGATATAATTAAATCAAACTGAAGAAAATACATTATTTTTCTTATGTAACATATTATATTACATTGTATCTGTATTTGTTTCTGTGTTTGTGAGTAAGGTAAAGGTGATTATGCATGCACATAAATATATAATCCTGTAATCAGATAAAAGTCACTTCGTTTTTCTCATTAAATATTTACTCAAACGATGTTGTCAACATTACAACATTAAATAATAGTTTCATAAAGATGATTATTTCAATATTTGTCTATGTTTATAGGTTTTTGTGTGTTTGACAAATGAAGCTAACTGCGAAGCCTACAAAAACATATTTTCATAAATATTCACGTGAAGTAAGAACTTAAGCTACGGATTAAGCAATCACGCGAAGAGTTCTCCCAAATCAGCGTATTTATCTTTTGCTGTTTACTTTTGCGGTTATCCCATTGTTTGGAATCAATAATTTTGCAGCGAATTTTAGCCACGAATCTATCAATCAATACAGTGAATAACAATATTTTAGAAAAGTGTGCTGCGAAGTGTAAAATTTTTAGATTACGTGTATATTTAGCGATTTCTATTTGTTCTATTTATACGATCTGAAAAATAACTACAAGTAGATGTATTTAAATCACATTCATTTGAATAAGAAAAAGCATCGATTTCGAAATTTCAAGTCGCTGTCAAATTTCAAAACGGATAGCAAAGTGCGATCCTAATGATACTACCCTGATTTGTAAGTAGATTTTTTGAGTTAAGCGTAACGAAGCATTGTAAAATATTTTTCTATAGGTAAATAACAACTAAAAACATATAAACAACAAAAAATGGAACCGGAGCCGACATTCAAGTAAAGTGATTACTTAAGAAGGGTATTTAGAATTCTACTTCATTAAAAGGATACTTAGAGAGAGAGAGAGAGAAATTCATAAAACGCGACTTCATAAATCGGCCGAATTCGACAAGAGGTGAGAGAGAGAGAAAGAGATTCAAATAGAATGAAGACACTGTTTGCAAAAAAGTTTAAAAAGAAATATTATACAGTTTAATACAGTTCAAGTATTTTGCTATCGTCTCTCTAAATTTCCGGTATGAAGGAGCGCACTATATGTAACATCCAGTCAGACTAAAAGAAATTCAATGAATACCAATAAGTGTGCACTGAATGGGTATGAGATCACATACATTTTAAATTAACTCTGCTCTTATTGCATACCCTTGTCGATACTTTTCGACTATCACATCTTCTAAGCGTTTCAATCAGAACGGCATTTTGTTTTGAGATTATTGGCCGCCTCAGAATTTAGATAAAATCTATACCAAAGCAATTTAGAAAGCGATGAAATCTGTGTTTCCCAAACAGCCAGAAGTAAGCAATTTCATAGCTTTCTCACTATTAATCGGCTTCGGAAAACAGTTAAAGAATATAAAGTATCTGCGCCAAATCGGCTGTTGTGCATACTTCATCGGAAAATAGACAAAACTAGCCAGTCAAAGGAACGGCATGAAATACAGAGCGAGCGGCTGGACGACCGATTAAGCGCTGCCACATGCAAGCTAGTGAATGTGTGTGTGTGTCTGTGTGCATTTGGGGAAAGTGCTTCGAAAACAAGTACTTCGAACAATTTCGACCCCAAAAATCATGCATTGATGTCAAGTGAAATTTAATGGGGAATTGGTGTCAAACGGAATGACATGGCCTGAAAAGTGTCTTTGGAGAGCTTTAAAATGCCGTGGCAACCCATATGTGTGTGTTTGGGTACACAGAGGCGCGTGCTGGCTTGTTTTTCACAAATCAAAGATCAAAATATCGAATGCTGCACGCTCGCCCTCTCGGTCACTTTGGCATTCTGTCACTTTCATCAATTTATTGCCAAGACAGAGAAGAACCTTTATTGAGGAACAGCAGATTGCGGG